CATCCCAAAATATAATCACGGGATAGACATCCCAAGCATAGACATGGTTATCACAAGAACCCAGATCATGGCCACCACAACATAGTCTCTAACCATCGAGTCGTACCACTACTTTTCAAGTGACAATTAAGTCGTCAACACAACTTCCAATTATCCAATTATCTCATCATATCAGTTTTTCCATAGTTAACAGATCAACAATAACAAAACAGCCAAACTCAACCAACTCAGCGGTTCAATCAAACAATTCAACAAACAGAAAACACAACAGTGCTATGTGCAACATATCAAAGGTTATCCATCCTCACCTTAATCGGTTTTCTTTCTCCTGAAAGTCCTCAAAATGTCCCAGCTCTGGTTCCTCGGGATACCGCTTGTTATCAACTCCTATATATAATTATTGACAAAAACATAGTCACACAAATGCACAGTGAATATGATATGCAAATGACTACAACCCCATTACCCGTACTCGTTTGATACTTAGATATAAATATTATTATTATTAAATTATTTGTATTTCCTTTTTCCACAAATTAATACATCGTATATATACATATTCCGGATATTATTCTTTGATAATATCCTTTCTAGAAATATATTATCTTCCATATATAATATTATTATTTTTTTTTTGGTGAATAGATGGGGCCTAAGCCCATTTATTAAGAAAAACTAAACAGCAACACAAGCCCGGGGCCAAGAAACACCCCGTAAATCAGCCTGGTAAATGTCAATACAAAATGAATAATAGAATCAAAGACATGTAACTGCATCTGTAAACCAGTGGTTCCATTGGCCAATGTATCAGCCAGACGATTGGCTTCACGGTAGGTATGAATGATGTGAACCTGCCAATCCCGCTCCAGGAGGGAGCAAATCTGCTGGAATAGAGGATAAAAATGTCCATGGTGTCGTTTCTGGAGGAGACGAACAAGAGCCTGAGAGCCAAGCTCAAGAACAATACGACGAAAACCAACCGTCCAGGCATGCATCAATCCGAAATATACTGCCCAAGCCTCAGCCTTGAACGAGGAGCAGATACCCAGAACAACTGAAAAGCCAAAGCACCATCCCCCACCAGAGTCACGACATACACCACCCGCTGAGGCTAGGCCTGGGTTACCCTTAATTGCTCCGTCAGTATTCAGTTTGAACCACCCCACATTTGGAGACACCCAGCCCACATCCCTCCACTTCCGAATTGGCTTGTTCCTCACTAAGAGCTTGGCATGAAGGGTCAACTGAATTTCGTTGGCTAGCTGAAATATAACAGGAACAGAATAGAAGCCAACGTTATGTCATCCAAAAATCCAGCCATTACGCCAACCCAATAATTGCCAGAGGGTGACACCAAAAATAGTCTGCTAGGAACTAGATGTAGTACTACCATAATCTCCACTGAAATTCCTACATAGCCAAGTATGCAAAGAACCCGAATTAAAATCAGACCACTTTGCAGGATGAACAATTTTTCTCCAAACCCGTTGGGCACGCCAACATCCTCGCAGTACATGTAGAGTATTCCAAAACCCCATGACAAGCTTGACAACTTGGCGAAGTTGTAAAGCGGCGTCTGAACCTCTGATCATTGGTCATGAGGCGTTCATGCACCACCAACCAAAAGAAAGAACGAACTCGCTGAGGCCCTTGCCATTTCCACACCCAGTTCTAGATAGTATCAGCAGAGTTCCATGCGCTCTTAGCTAGCAATGCATATGCGGACTTCGAAGTAAAGGAACCAGAATTAGAGAAACCCCAACATATCCGGTCAACTGGACCATAAATAGGAGGTAGCATAGCTGCTACCTAAAGAACGACCTCCTGTGGTAGAAGATCGTTGAATAAGCTCCAATTCCATTCACCCGAAGCCGTAACAAAGCTAGCCAGAGGCTAATGCAATTGTTCATCTGCCACAGGACCAGTAGCAAACTGAAGCAGACAACCATTGCAACTCTCAACCCACCAATCAAGCCAAAACCGGATCTGCCTCCCGTCACCAATCACCCAACGAACCCCCTGTTCCACCGCCCACCGTACCGATTTAATGGCCCTCCAAATTAGAGAACCAAAAGTCTTATCACGCAAAGAAACTCAGCCACCCACAAGCTAGAAGTACTTAGCAGATAATACCTTAACCCAAAGCCGGTCCTCAGAACTAATGATGGCCCAAGCCAGCTTCGGAATCAAAGCATCATTAAACCAATGCAGATGGCGGAGGCCCACCCCCCACAAGACTTCGGTTGACAAAGAGTATCCCACTTAGTCAAATGTGATTTCCTATCCTCAACAGTGTCACCCCAAATAAAATTACGACACAAACGTTCAATCTCCAAACAGACACCCTTTGGTAACTTAACAGATTGCATCGTATACACCGGAAGGGCACATAAAACAGATTGACAAAGAGTAAGGCGACCAACTAAGGATAGCTGATCAACTTTCCACCCTACCAAATGTTCCCGCACAGAGGTGATAATGTTTGCATAAGTGGCTTTCGTGACCCGGCCAGCATAAAGTGGCACTCCTAAATAAATTCCCAGATCATCAGTGTGCTGAAAACCACTCATGCGACTGAGTTGACCCTGAAGCTCGTTAGACACATTACGAGGAAAAGAGATCCTGGTCTTGGCACAACTGACCTTTTATCCAGAAAAACGACAAAAAAGATCAAGGCATTGTTGGATGATCGTGAGCTGCTCTACCGAAGCCTCTGCAAATAACAACATATCATCAGTAAAAAGAAGATGAGACACAGCCGGTCCGCCATATTGAGCCGATAATGGCTTCCACCGACCCTCTTGGACCGCCTGCAAAACCAAATGTGAAAAACGCTCTAGACAAAGCACAAAAAGGTAGGGGGATAGGGGGTCTCCCTGCCCCACCCCCCTTAAAGGTTTAAACTTCGTTGTAGGAACTCCATTCCATAGAACATGCATGTCAACAGAAGAAAGGCAAGGCATGATAAGAGAGCATATGGATGTAGGAAAGTTAAGCTCCTCCAAGACCTCTTGAATAAAAAGACCAATCCTAATGATCATATGCTTTCTCAAGGTCCACCTTTATAGCCATAAAACCTCGGGTACTCTGCATGGTACGCATAGTATAGATGAGCTCTTGCGCCACAATAATATTGTCAACTATGTGTCGGCCAGGGACGAAACTACTCTGAAATGAGCCAATCACCTTAGGGAGAAGAGATTTGAGCCGATTAATCAACACTTTCGTAACAAGTTTGTAAGTGACATTGCATAATCCAATCGGACGAAACTGAGAGACCAGCTCCGATTCATCAACTTTGGGAACTAGAACCATAGCTGTCTTATTTGTAGCATCAATGTTGACAGTACCCAAGAAATTCTCCTTCACAAAAGAAAACAAATCCTGCTTTACAATCTCCCACTGACTTTGATAAAAGTAGGCTTGAAACCCATCCGGACCCGGTGCTTTAAAAGCACCCATTTGGAACATAGCCTGAGTAGCCTCAGTATCTGAGACAGGACAGGATAAGGAACTCAGCTCCTGGTGGGACAGTTGCGGAAATTTCCCTTTCAAAGGAAAACCATGCAAAAGAGAAGAGTCACATGTAAATAAATCAGTCTAAAATAGCACCACCAAGTCCTGCATGGCTGACTGCTCCCAAATCCATTCACCATCATTGTCCTTCAAAGTAGTAACCCTATTTCTGCGACGCCGAATCATAGCAGAGGAATGAAAAAATCGTGTGTTCCGATCCCCATGTTCTATCTAGTTAACACGAGCTTTTTTAAACCAAAGTAGTTCCTCTTGATGAAGGATGGTGTTATATTCCTGCATAAGATCTGATTCCAAACGAACAAGAAAAGGGCTCCAGGAATGACTCAAAGCCTTCTGTACCCCTATAAGTCTAGATAGAGCCCTTTTCTTCCTCCTAAAAATATTCCCAAACACCTCATGATTCCATAAGGAGAGGATCTGAGACAAAGAAGAAAGCTTACCCGATAACACCTCATTAGAAGCCCAGGCATCCTGTACAACTCCGGCAAACTCCGGATGTGAAACCCAAGCATACTCGAATCTGAAAGGTCTTAGCCCACGTCCACCAACATAAGCTTCGGTGTACAAAGAAATGGGATGATGATCAGACTTAACTCGAGCCAAGTGACGCACAGAGGCCTCAGGGAACAAATGGATCCAACTCATATTTGCTAAAGCCCTGTCGAGCCGTTCAAATATGCGACCATTAGGGTGTGAAGGACCTCGCCAAGTGTACTTAGGTCCCGAGAAACCTAAATCCACAAGACGACAGTGATTAATCCAATCCAAAAACTTAGCACATCTAGTAGTATCCACTGATACCCCACCCTGCTTCTCCATAGCATCCAAAATCTCATTAAAATCCTCCAAAATAACCCAAGGCCTCCCAACCGTCAAAGAGAAGGTAAGCAGATTAGCAAAGAGAGCTTGTTTAGCCTGTATATCCGGATTGACATAAACAGCCGTAAGTAACCAGCATCCTTTAGTTGGGGAATTGATTTCCAAGTGAATGAATCCATTAACATTGCCAACAACCTTGACAAAATCACCCCCCCTCGTGCCACATAACCCACAAACCACCAGAAAAGCCAACAGCATCTACTCGAAAACTCCGCGTAAATCCCTAAGACTCGATAATGGCTTGCGCACGGTCCCCACTAACTCGGGGTTCTGAAAATCACCAACAATTGTACATGATGCATTCGCCCAAGATCACGAATTACATTTTTAATAGCGGTGCTTGAAGCACCACGTACATTCCAATACAGAGTCCGCATAAAAATAATATGGGATAGATAATGTACGAACTCCATACGGAGGAAACCAAATTAGTGAGACTTAGTATGTGACAGCTCCAATGGGGTTGGAGAGCTGTCGTAAGAGAGACCTTCAGAAATCGGAGCCACCGTCTGTGATACAGGACCCGGTTTCATCGTAACATCAGTAGAGTTATTTGAAGGGAAGATCCTCAGGGAAGACAATTCCTATCCGTCCGGGGGTTTGGGGGGAGAAGGAACAGGAACTGATGGAGAGGAAACTTCCAGGATCATTGGGCAAGGGAGAGTCCCAGATGGGGACACAGTGACATGAGGGGAATCTTTCAAAGAACAAGTAGAAGGAGTAGTATGTTGGTGAATCTTAGACTGGACATGTGGCTGAGGAAATGGCTGTATAGTAGCAGATCCTGCTGAAGCCATACGAACTGCCCTAGCAGGCACGTTAGTGGTACTAGGTTTTGAAACAATAGGAACATTGGTAGGAGAGGGGGAGGATACCTGCACCCGGATAGGTGGGGACGAAATAACAGGAGTGTTGACTACCTCTTGAGGCTGAACCAAAGTACGAGTTACTGGAGAATCATTTGCATGATCATTGTGTTCACTTAACAAAGCAAATCGAGAGCCAGAAACCATCTCCACAGAACCTGAAGTCCTCTCCACCGGGGCACCCCTGGGTCCCTTAGGTCGGCCTCTTCTCTTCTTCTCCGCAAGCATCCAAGGACCATGATTAGCAAAGAGCTCTGGTCGTTCCTCCTCCATAGGAACTGGAACATCCTCAGCAACAACAGGTAGTGTGTCAGTATGAGTATCCATATTAGAAGCGGCCTCTTTTGTGTCTGAATTGGTGGGGCAAGAATCTAGGGTGTGTCCATAATGTCCGCACATGAAACAAATGGAGTCCAGTCCTTCATAAACAAGCTTCCAGACGCGACGATGCATATGGAATTTGGATAGTAGAGGTTTTGTAAGATCAACTTCAACACAGACACGGGCATATTTCACTCTTGTGGCCCGAAGAGTGACCTCGTCAACTTTGATCGGACGGCCAACTCGCTTAGCGACCCGAAAGAGAATTGAATGATCATAGTATTCACGATAAAGCTTTGGAATTTGCACCCACAAGATTGCCCTATCGATGGTTGCTTCGTCCGGATCAAAGCGTGGCTACCACTTCCGCATAGTAAGGACGTGATCAGCGACAATCCATGGACCATCATATAACACTCGGTCATAATCCTGATCATTATGGAACTGAAGAAGATAGAAATCACTTCGTCCCCCTTCGGTTTCCATTGGTTCATTAGAGTTTGATGTAGAAAACGGTAACCAACCTTCTTGCCCAGCAACTTGATAATTAGAGTTTGCTTCCAACGCTGGTAGATACGTCGCTTATCAGCAGAGGATAAGCGAATCGTGGGACAAAAGGGGTCTTCTTCATCCTCTTCTTCTGGATCTGAATCCTCATAAAGAAAACCGTCCCAGTCCTCCCTATCAGGTTCTGTCATCTCCGCTTCAGACGATTGGCCCGTAAGCATGAACTTGTAGGACCCCTTACGTCTTGGTTCATCAGGAAACAACCTCTCTTCAGGAGGAATCGGCTTGGAGAAGTCGATACCAGACATACCTGTGCACTTCACCTTTTTATTGCTACGCTCCTGTTGATCCAATTCCTCCGTCGAAGTCACAGGAGCTGCCACCGCTGTGGGGCTGGTGGCTGCCGCCATAGGAACCACGTAAAACCCTAGGAGCTTGGAGTCGTGTGTCCGAAGAAATCAGAGAGCTTTTTTACAACTTTAATATTATTATTATTATTATATATATATTATATTAATTCTAGGCCCAACTTTTATTTTGCCCAAAATAACAACCCAAAGCCCACAAGACTTAATGCTTAATGCCCAGGTCACAAGACCCATGCCAAGTCTTTAGGCCAAAAAGCCAAGCCCTTATGTTAAAGGCCCGCTTAATCAAATTTTGGAGTCATCAACTCGGTGTCTTCCCTAATTTTCCCAAAAGAAGTCCTGCAACCAGTAGCCATGCAACTCTCGCACTACAACCCACAAATGTAATTTTATACTTTTGAAAAAAAACGAGAAAGGTTTGGTGAGATGCCAACTCACCCTTGCAGCGAAGCAATAGCTTTCTTCAACTTGGTGTGGTCGTCGTAGTCTCAAGGGATAATTGTAGTAAGCGTCACAGGGAGGAGGAAGAAGAAGATGAATGGATACTGTGTTATTTTGGTTGTGGGGTTGTTGTGTTATTTTCTTATCTTATATGTATAAATATATATGGAAGAAAAGTTGGCAGAAACTGGGTGCAGAAAAGAAATGCAAGAAGAAGGCTGATATGGTATTTGCTTTGCAGGTGAGGAGCATAAACGGTCATAGGCAGAAAAAGGTAAGGTGTAAGGAAGAAGAATTTTTCCTTACCTGGGAAGAATAAGAAAATCAGGCAAGCTTGTAGATGAAGGAGAAAACTTTGCAGACGACGATATGGACGGAAGAAAAGGTGGTGTGAGCGTGTCACACACACTCAACCGGGTATTGTCTGGACCAGCAAATAACTAAAATACCCACTTAACTTTATTTCTGGTCCGTTCTTTCGAGGTTAAACCTGACTTTCCTCGAGATTCTTGGACCCGAAAAATACCAACTCTGGTCCGTAAAATCCGCAGAAAAATCTAGGACGTGGGGTATAGGACGGTTTCGGAATCCGATGCATAATTTACCCTGAAATAATTACCCAAGATTAATTTTATAAGGTAAATTATTGTACAAAGCCTTTTACAGTCCCAGTAAAAACATAAATTTTACCCTGGCTGTTACATCAATTATGTAGGCCCAAGTATGGATCAACAAATGATGCAGGTATAAATATACAAAATTAATTATTATTTGTATTATTATTCAGTATTTTATTTTATTTATTTTTCTAATTTATTTCTATTTTTAGTTTTATTGTTCTTTCTTCATAATAATAGTTTTTTAAAACTTTTTTCCTGATTTTTATTTTTAGAAATTACCCTCTTAGTTTTTTTATGTCCTTTTTATTATTAATTAATTGTTTTTATTTTTTCTTTTATTTTAGTATATTATTTTTTGTTTTAGGGCCTACTGATGTATGTTTAAATATAAAAAAAATTATTATTTATATGATTATTAAATAGTTTATTTTATTTATTTTTATGAATTATATTGTATTTTCTAATTTATTTTTTTTATTTATTTTCCTGATTTGTATTTCTTTAAAATTAGTTTCTTATGTTTTTTTAACTTTTTTGTTATCATTGATTAATTATTTTAATTTTTACTTCTATTTTTTAATATTTTTTATTTCTTTTGGCTCAATGATCCATGTTTAAGTTTGCAAAATTAATTTATATTTATATTATTATTAAATAGGTTTTTAAAATTTTATTTTTCTGATCTATATTATATTTTTTTGTTTTAATTTTTTTAACACTATATTTTATTCATTTTACTGATTTATTTTTTAAAAATTACTCTGTTATATTTTTAATTTTTTTGGTTATTATTAATTAATTCTTATAATTTTTTCTTCTATTTTTTATTTTTTTGTTTCAAGGGCCAATAATGCATGTTTAATTTTGAAAAAATAGTTATTATTTATATTATTATTAAATAGTTTATTTTATTTATTTTTCTGATTTATATTATAATTTTTATTTATTTTCTAGATCTATATGAAAAAATAGAAAAAATTGATATAAAATATATGATTTGGAAACAAATCATGTACAAGTTTTTTTAATATTACATAACAAATGCCTAGAAATAATAGTTAAAATGTTAATTTTTTAATAAAATTAATTAATAAGTAAGCCGGTGAAACCCACAGGAAGTGAGCTAGTGCTTAGTTAATTCCCGAGAGCTTAAAAATCAAAACAACAGTGCACCAAAAGGTTATCCCAAACATTATATGCTTCACCAAATATAGGTTGGTAAGTGATAAATAAATATGGAGATTCACTCACCACAATAATTAATATGCATGACCTGGCCAGATTGGGATTAATCGGGATAAAGTTTTAGATATAGGATGAGCAACAAAAAAAACTATTATATGCTTCTGTGACTTATCCCTGTCAGAATCCATATATAGACGTGTTATTATACAATCATCACTTTTTCAGATAAAAGAGATAGGTTTATATGCACTTCACGTCGTTTCCAATGTCTTTAGTGTTCTTGCTAGCCTGGATATGGATTCTTTTTGAAACCTGCCTATGAAAGTTTCTGTCTCGAATCCCTTCTCGCTTCAGGTTTGATATCTAACTTCTTTGCAGGTTGCACAATTTGGTTTTGACTCTTTCAGTGTATTTTCGCGATAAAGGGACAGCGATGCCAGCCACGATACATATAGTAAAAACTTGTACATTTCTTTTTCTGTGCTAAGAGATTCATCTTTTTAAGCCTGAAGAATCCATTAATTTTGAGCCTTGCTTCTCTCTTCTCTTTTGTGATATTTTACTTTCATGGCTCGAGCAGCGAGGTAGAGAGAGATCATTTCATGGGAATTGGAAGGTGGACGAAAAGCAGTGTAATCCAGCAAAACGCAACTTTCAAGTACTACTATTCAAAGAACAAAAAAGGTCATTACTGTGCCGTTACCATGCTAGTATTCTGTGCAATATAATTCTTTTTTTTTTTTTCTTGTTTACCATGCCTTTCCATGTATACGTAGAAAGGCATGGGAGAAGCAACATTTGCTAAACAATCCGCTCCCCATCGCCTTCTTGTAACGTATAGGGAATTTCCACCGACCAAGAAGCTCCAGAATGTGCCCCACCAGAGGTATCATCTTCATGATCACTGACTGATCAGTCAAGCTTCCAGCTTCATCAATGAATCGAAACAAAGAAGAACAAACTTGCTTGCTGAATTGCCAATATGCTTTTGTTTTTAGTAATTACATCATAGTATATATATATATATGTATGTGTATATATATATATATATGTATGTATGTGTGTTTTGGTTATTAATACAATAATGCTAGAGTTACTAAGGATAGCATGCTTACATTGGATGATTTTAGTAGCTCTGCACATCTTTTTTATTTTCATTTATTATTTCCAAAATTAGAATTTTTCAATCACAAAAAATTTTTCCTATTAATTTTTCATGATCTCTCTCCTTTCTAATTTTTTTCCCTACTTCCTTCATCGATTTTCTCTCCATTTCTCTCTTTATTTTTTTATGCTAATAAGCACTTCAACTGAATTAAATTGAGGCTGCACCAGGCCACCATTTCTACAAAGCTAGACACCTGCAAGTTTCTTTCTCTCCTTCCTTTAACTAGTGCTGAAATAGGTCCACATAGATGCCGGTCATGCCTCGCTTCCCATGGTTTTAATTTGCAAAAATCCATGGTTCTCCTAAAGATTGTATTGATATTTTTGAGAAGATGATATCCAGTGGTGTAAGACCTGATCGAATTTCCTTTCTTGTGGTTCTTTCTGCCTGTAGCCATGGTGGATTTGTAAATGAAGGGCTTCATTCAGTTTGATGACGACAGAATATCAAATTAGACCAGATTTAGAACACTATACTTGTCTCTTGAACTTCTTGGTCGAGCTGGTCTTTTGGACGAGGCTTTTAATGTGTTGACTTCAATGTCAATAGAGCATGGATCTGATGCCTTGGCAGCCTTCATTGGTGCATGCAAAATTCATGGTGATGTAAAATTAGCGAGATGGGCATCAGAAAAGCTTTTTGCAATGGAACCAAAGAAACCTGTAAATCATACAGTTATGTCTAACATTCTACAAAGCCAGCAGCCTCAATTCAATTCAGTTCATAAAGAGAAAAAATGGAGAGAGATTTGATGAAGAAAGTAGGGGAAAAAATTAAGAAAGGAAAGAGATCATGAAAAATTAATAGGTAAAGATTTTTGTGTTTGGAAAATTCTAATTTTAGAAATAATAAATGAAAATAGAGATGATATGGACAACTAAGAAAATCAATATGCCACATATGCTTGTAAAACTCTATTAGTAAAAAAATCCTTAGTAACTCTAGCATTATTAATAGTAGTTACAATACCGAATTTGGAAGTTATAATGCAATTTTGCTTTTCTATTTTGGCTTTAGTTCGCATTACAAATGCATCCCTGAAAATGCATTGTAGGCTATTTTTGGAAATCTGGTTATAACCGTGTCAAATAATAACCCCTCTTTCGTCTTTGTAATTTAATTGGAATACTTGTTTAGGCAATATACATGAAAATTTTATATGTCATAATTAAAAATTAGTTATTGGAATTTTGTTTACGCTAAAATTGGTTATTGGATTAAGTATATGGTACAAGCCAAAGCAACTTTTGAACCAGAAAATCCGAGATTAGTTATTAGATTATAAATCAGAGGAGCCCAAACAGCGGCATTAGGGATCGCTTCTTCTCCATTGTGTAACCATCGCTAAGTCGAATCACACGGATCCACCAGACGAAAACTAAAAATGCATGTTGCTCTTCCACTCAGTTGGGCTACAACTTCCCCTTAACCCCAATATTCCTGCAAAATTAATAAATGTTCTTTTATTTTCATGCCCACAGCGTTGAAAATAATGCTTTGCTAATATTTCTTTATCCTATTCAGGTTTTGATAATGACAAATCAATCTTGTCTTAAGATGATCATTATTATGAAGCAAAAAGAAATTAATCAAGAGCAAAGACCTTATGTGATCAAGAGTTCAAGATTTGGAGTGACAAGCAAAGAAAAGCAAACAAGAAGACTTAGGGTTCAAAATTGTACAAAGGTTAAACACTCATTTCTCTAAGTTATTGGCTCAAAATAAAATCATTTTTACTCATGCATCATATGACATCGATTCAATCATAAAAATGGTTTCTAAGCTTTGAACATCGATGTCCAATTTCTGAACATCGATGTCCTCATGACCGTTATGCTTAAAAAATTGCTTTGAAGTGTCTGAACATCGATGTCCTATTTCCATAACATCGATGTCCTATTGAATCGGGTTTCAAAATTGTTTCGGCATGTATCATAACATCGATGTTCAACACCATAACATCGATGTCCATTTGAATCGGCTTTTAAGATTGTTTTGGAAGTGTCCAAAACATCACTGTTCAACATATGAACATCGATGTTATTTTGTCTCGGGTCTTGGACAATGTCTTGGGCAACATCGATGTCCTTTTGGCCAACATCGATGTTGTATTGACCGTTAGCCCAATAATTCATATTCGCTGGCCAGGACATTGATGTCCCCTTTTGCAACACCGATGTCCTTGTGACCGTTGGACTAATAATGCACAATCAAAGGCCATAACATCGATGTCCTTGATTCCAACATCGATGTTCAGCCGACATGAGCAGACACACTTTTTACCTTCTCATGCTATCTTGTTTAAAGATGTTTTAGATTGTTTCTCCAACGGTCATACATGCTTTTATCCTTATAAATAGAGCTTTTAGGTCCCTGTTTAAATTAATTCAACTCTCCATATTTTTAAGATTCATTGTGAAACATACAATTCATTTTATGAGCCAATATCATTGAGAATTGAGAGTTGCCTTCATAGAGCTTATTTTTGTACTCATACCTACTCTTAAAGAGAGTCTTGTTTTGAGTGACCTTTGTATTAACATACACTTTAAGGGAGGATTGTTCCCTTGTAGTAAATTCATAGGAAGAGGGTCTTCTTTCTGTGGGAAAAGTCTTGAAGTGAGGAATCTTCAAGCAGGAGTTGTAAACGGTTTGTTAAGCACCCGGAAGCTTAACGCGGATAGTGGAATCTTCGAGAGAGTCTCTCGGAGGACTGGATTAGCTACACAGGTTGTGTGTGTGAACCAGGATAAATCGGTTTGTCTCACTCTCTTTCAATTCCGCATTATTATTTGTTTTATGTTTACGTAATTTTTCTTTTTTATTATTTAATTATAATTATGTATATAAGAATTCCAACATGAATTTTTTTTTCTAGTTGAATTCTTTATTAAGTAGTATTTAAATGGCAGAATGCCCTTTTTAAGACCTCAGTTAACCAAAAAACTTCTGTTTGGGTATCAAGTCACAAAAAATTCAATTTCCCCTCCAAGCTATGACATTTCATTCGATTTGGGTACTCATTTATCCAAATCCCCTTCAAATCGCCCAAAATCAAAATTGGAGCACTACTCACCCAATTTAGCATGTGCTGGAGGCTGACGTGGACGCGCCACGTGGCTGCCCGCGTCCGATTGGCGCTCTTGACTGAGGTGGACCATTAAGAAGATGACATGTGGCATTTGGGGGGTCTCAAATTAAAAAATATTTTAAAATGTATGATGAATATTTTTAATATATAAATATTTTTTGTGTAAAATATAAAATATTTTTTTAATATAAAAATCCAAGTAAATCATTATATCTTATTAATTTAATACCCAGATAAATAAAATAATTTAACTAAAAATATTGAAACGCCCCGACCTAAATTTACCCAACATACAGTAATTACCAACAACAGTACTGACACGTGGCACAAACTGTGTAATACAACAGAAAATCGGCCCAACGGCCCAACAACAAAAGCATAACACCCGACTTCGGGAATCTCAATAAAAACAGCACAGCGAAAGCATTTTTAATTTAATGTCAACATATGCAAAGCCCGATGCAGCTAATAGATCCGAGTCCTGCCCGAGGGGTGCGCCGCAGCTTGCCTCGTACGTTCCTGCACTACAAACAACTCAACCTACGGGATGAAACCCCGCAGGCGAGGGGTGAGTCCGAAGTGCTCACCGATGAAAGATAAACAGAGATATGTAATCAACCATAATACTTTCGAAGTAAACACAACAACACAACAGAAGAATCCTACCAAAACATACTGAGCCAAGACCAAAAGAATGTTTATTATTATTACCAATTTTATCTTCCGGGCCCCGTCACTGGACAAGCTAGGGTCGTATCTGGTTATTAACTAATTCCGGATGCTAGGCCAAAACACAATCCGGGATCAACATCCCAACAACAACCAATCCGGGATCAACATCCCAATATCAACAAATCCGGGATCAACATCCCAATAACAACATCATCCGGGATCAACATCCACAACAACCAAACCAAACCGGCCATGACACCGCAAAACTAGCCTCTAACCATCTAGTCGTACCACTACTTTCCACGTGTCAATTATATCATCATCTCAAATTCAGTCCAGTTCTATTTCTCTATCCTCAATTATCCAACTTTCTATTATTTTAAATTATTCCACAGACCAAATCGACAACAGACTCATAACGTCAATTAACCACAGTTAACAATTCAGCATTATTCTCAACACAATATCCACAAGTCTAAACACAATCCAACAACAGCATTATCAATTTCCACAGTAATCAAATAATAGACAATAATCATTTCAGCAGTTCAATCAAACAACAAAAACAAACACAGTATTACGGGCACATATCAAAGGTTATCCATCCTCACCTGACATGTCTCTGAAACTGACATCTGGTCAAACCTCGATACCCTATATGCATATATAGGAACACAATAATCACTTATAATGCACAACAAAAATGATTATGCATGATACCGATTTAACATTTATTAGACGACTTTTATGTTCATTTTAGTATCTCTATAATTATCTTATTACCAAACAGTTCATCCGACTTGGTGGCGATTACTGATTAAGTATCTCCAACCAGTTTTATCAAAACATACTTAATTTAGATCAGAACCAAAACCGAGCGTCCAAGTCGATATCCCGGCCCTTAGGTCGCTTATGATAAGAAAATACATACATATAAATATGTTGTATAAATTATATTTGGTAATAATACCAAATCATGACCCATACTCGTGGTTCATTAAATATTACGAAGTAAATAATATTTCGTAAGTACTTATCCCCGTTATAATAATAATAATAATAGCTATATGTACGCTTAGAAAGAAATGATCATAAAATAGTTGTAATAAAACCGTTAAATAGGAAATATCTCCATCAGTAAAGAGGTTAACATAACTGATATACGGTATAAAATAATTTTAACATGATATATAAAATATATATACGTATATAACCTTTCATTGTAAAATGAAGTATAGATGATGATAATATTACCATAACTCATTAAAATATAACGAATATTGTTAATATAATAGAATAAAACTTGTACATAGTAAGAAGTTAGATTATTTTAGTTTATAATAAAATAAAATTAATGGATCAAAATAATGTAACCGTTATGGAAATGATGTTAATATATGATATTTATCAAAATAATAATACTGCTATTATGTTATCAATTAACAAAACATAGCCCACCCATAATGTAAATGTTACACGGATTATATATTAAATAGTTAAATCTAAAAAAATAATATCATTTTTATGTCGTAACTATTTATAATTATAATTCATAATAAAATTATGGACTAATATTATTTAGCCAATAAAAATATCGTTAGTAACATATATAAACAATTGGTAAACAAAGTATGGACCTTTTATTATTTTAGCCCAGAAGTACAGCAGTTAAACATATTAGAAATGTATTTGTAATGTCAACATAATTTAAAGTAATTTTGAAAATTAGCCACGGTGGACCTTCACTTGCGTTTAGTCCATCGGGAAAATAAATAAATTAACTTTGGATTAATTTAAAGACTTAATTAAATTAGATAATATGGGCCTTTTTATTGTATTTAGCTCAATCCGATAAATTTAACCGGAAACTAAATTCAATGGGTCTTTTATGAGCCCAAGTAAATGTATATAAAAATTAAAACTGGCAATTTTAAATGCTATGAGCCTTTTTAATAGCCCAATCGAAAAATATAAACATAAGGTAAATAA